GGTGCAAAAATGTGTCAGCTGGAAAGTCGAAGGAAAGTCAGTGATAAATGTTGTTGTTGTTGTTGTTGTTGTTTCATCTTTATTTTGCCCCGCAGGATAAACTTATTCAAGCTCAGCGAAACCAGGAACTTATTGAAGAGGAGGAGTATTATGAATCAGTGAGTCGTAGTTTTGATGGAAGTACCTCGTTGATCAAGGCCTACTTTCCCATTTTTTCCGCTGTATCAATTTATTTTCATATTTTATTTTATAACAACGTTATTTAAATAATAACATATATAACATATTATTATTAAAAAAGGTAATAGAAGGGAGGAACTTAATCCTCATTGTAAACTATACCCCAGATATAAATATTTAATACTTTGCAATATACATATACACACTGAAACATTTTACATACAAGTATATATCTATATGAATATAAAATCGAAGTAAAGAAGTCATATTTAAGATAAAAATTCTGTTGAAATGATGAATAATTAAATTTCTCCTTTTCCCTGAATTTCGCAGATCAAAGAAAGTCACCGCCAAGAAGAAAAGGCCTACAAAGATTTTTGTGATTATGTCGACAGAACATCGGACTACGCGGTTCTCAAGGTGAGTATTGATTTTAAATGGACGTTTCTGTCTCCTTTACGGCAGTTTATATGTTAAACTGTTCGGTAATTTTTCTCGAGCTTGCATTGTGACGAGAGATACAGAGCGCTTTCTTAGACGATGTCTAAAGTCTGAAAGCAAAATAATTACAACATCCAATCTGACCAAAGGAAAATGTCACGAGGATCCACTAAGAACTCCGTAAAAACAATCAAACTACCTGAAGCGCGGGAAAACGTGAGTCACTTTGTCGCGATTGGTTTCAGTTGCATTTGATTGGTTTAGACAAAGGCGTGCGTTTTCAGTACCAATCACAGAGCGCATTCGTGATGTTCAATATATTTTGTTCAATATATTCAGGCTGCAAAAGAGAAGCAGTTGAGCACCATAGAAGCTTCAAGACTTCAGGGTAGAGTTTATTCGGGGTAAGAGACAAGTTTTTATCTCAGTGTTGTTTATCTCACTGTATTCGAAGAAAAATGTCTTTCAGTCGGTATCCATTTTTTCTGTCAAAGATCTAAACAATATAATGGTAGCAAAAAACGTCACAGGTGTTTCGCACTGTTTTCTGATTGGATGGTAGTCAAAAACCATTTACTACCCTCACTGCAATCTCCCTTCCCAATGTCCTAAGTAAATAAATATCGGTTCAAATGTAACCGTTAACCTTTTCCGCTCTCTCTCTTTTCTCCTTTTTTTCAGCGAGATTTCCCACGACACTTTACAAGAAGACCTTAACACAACTGTAAGTAAATCATAGGAAAAGGGTGTATATTACTTTAGGTCAAACTGAAACATTCTCTGTAGGTAACTTTACCTGCACTTGTCAGAGCTTAAAAGTTTCTCAGACTTATCTTCGAAGCGAAAAGCCAGGGTATATCCGTGGGGATCTGGGGGGGGAGGGAGGGGGGGCTCTCATTCAGGATCTCGCCGGGGGGGAGGGGAGTAACTTTCAATGTAAACCCACTCACCTTTCCTGGCCAATGTTGCGTCATTTAAGGTTTACACGTGTTTTTCTTTCCAGACTTTCTGCGGTAGACGAGTAGAAATCGAAAGTACCCCACTTGACATAACAAGAACGATTACAAGTGCGACAACAGCCGACGAGGAAAAGGAAACTCTTGTAGTAGCGGTAAGTGAAAGAAAGGACCAAGGAGATGTCCTATCCTAGTACTAGGGTCTCTCATATTCTCGCTCCTTGGATCCTGGGAACGAGGTTAAGAGTTTGCGGCAAGTTTGCGTAGCTGACAGGTCTGCTTCCTTGGGCTAAGCGGCAGAAAAGGAGCAAAAAAAAAGAGAGACCTAACTCTTCCATACCTCAGCAAATAGGGAATCGAAAAGACTGCCACGCAGGCTAGCGTGCGCGTATAACTAAGATTTGGTCACTTGTCTGACAATGGCCATGTTTTTAGTGGAGGTTAAGTTGGTCTGAGATCATACTTGCGATTTCGAACTGAACGAGCGCACAGCTTTAGTGGGATATGAAATTTCAAGTACGATTTCAGAAAAAGACTTGCATGACACTAGTGATCCTTCCAGCTTGCCGAAGCTCGTCGTTATTCAGAAACTGAACATAAAATTAATTCTGTCTTTCTTTTCTATTGCTGATTTCTTCTGATCACTCATTTATTTATTTATTGGTTTCTTTTAGAAGAAAAAAATTTGGTAACAAAAGTTACCAAAGTCGCCACACAACAGGTTCTTTGGCCTTTTATTTTCTACAGTTTAAACAAGTTTTTAAGTGGGATTGTATCTTTTTCGTTTTGGTGTTGCATTCTGAATTCTGATTGGCTGACAAAAAGACGCGGTAGGTGAGTAGAAAATAGTGTGATTTGTGAGAAAAAAAGGTGCACGGCTGAGAGCCAATCAGACTGCAACGATCAACGGTGATTTCATTATGGATGTAATGAATAAAAAGACACTTCAAGAGTAAACTTCTCAATTTGTATTTCACATTTTATTTTTCAGTAAATGAGTCGACTGCAAGACCACATACAAGTTGTACAACCCAAAGAATGCTACATATATATTTCACTGTTGTAAATAATTTGGCCGCCTAACTTTGTAAATACGTGAAGTTGTTGCTGTCTGGTTTGCAAAGGTTCTACTTAACACATTTATAAATACATCATGTTTGACAGTTTAGAATAGTATTGTGCCAAACTCTTTGGTGTATTGACGATGAATGTCATACTTCACATGTTTGTGTCGTTATTTATATTGTATAAATTAAGAAAAAAATGGGTGTTTGTGCAGTCGAGATCTGTCGCCTATTAAAAGAACATATTGACTTTTTACCTGTAAGAGACATTCGCATTCGTTTCACTCAGAGGCTTCCAGTCAGGAAAAAGTATTGGAGTTTAAAATGGCGTAGAAGTTAAACTCAAGATCGCATTTTAGGAGCGTCTTTAAACCTTTGGAAAAGCAGTTTAAGAAGGCTCACTTTTAGTCCATGGACCGACCCTCTATCACCTCGCAAGAGTCACTAGAAATCGGTGAAGGAGATATTTCGGCGCTGCGTGAACTCTGGGAAGCGTACCGCGCGCATGGCTTCCAGGACGAAGTATAATTGCTACCGATATCTTTTGGTTCGCGCGACGGATTACGCCGACAAAGAGGGAATTCTCAAAGTCTGATTTCTTGTTGGTATACATCCCTTTGATTGCATTTTAAGAAAACAGCGCAACGCCCAACCTAGATTTTAGGCCTTAGATCCATGGGGCGGAAAGAGCGACCATGTTTAACACCCAGTTTAGAAAGTTCGGGGAATGATTGGTCGGATAGATTTCGCTTTAATAAAAGCACCTGGAGATTGTACCGTTCAAAATAATACGCCGTTTCTGAATCTTGAATACTGTAAGTAATACTGATCGCATCTTTACCGGCGTCTCAGTCCATACCTTCAGCAAGGTTATTTTTTACCAACTTCCTCCTTCTGCCTTTCGTTTGCAACCCTTAAAATCGCAGTCGCCATTACAACTGATCCGATCTGACGGAACTTGCTTTTCAGGTTTGTGGCCAGCATTCCATCCCGCGGGTTTGCCTGACCCGTAGAAATCTTCCTTGCGGGAGTGCCGGGTATCTTGGGAAGACGAAGGGGGGTTTCGTTGAAGCTGGTCTGACGAGAATGAAGCATCGGCCTCTCTTGAGCAGGGATAACGCCAGACTGAATCAAGGAGGCGGTTACAGGGCTTGTGCAACGGAATTCTAAAATATCTCGTGAGGTTTCCATGCTTGTTATAAGAAGTGGACTTGGTGCGCGGTTTTTACGTTCGGAAGGAAGACCCACCTTATTATTGGGTGCTGCGGCAACTTTCTTTGAATCCGGCGCAGGCTCTTGAATACATCCCAGCGGCTTCAGGGGTTGTTTGCATTCTGCGAAAGGTCTCTGAAAATCTTCAACTATGTCAACAGTATGTCGACGTAAACCCCCAATCGGACCCGCGAGGCTGTCTTTTCTTCTCTCATCAACTAAACATGGCAAGCTCAAACGCTTTGTCATCAATTTAGACTGCTTGGTGTATCGGTCGAGGCTTTCGACCAAGCTTTCCCTCGCCAACGATATCCTACGCAACTCTCTGTCAATGTAGCCTCTTTCTCGCGAGAAAGACTCGAGTTTTTGTCGAAGAATCTTGTCCTCCATGCTATTTTTCATCTGTACTGTCTCATTTCTCTCAGCCAGAGCTCGTTGCGGATACTTCGACATGGTTTCAATACTTAGTGAACTGAGCTGTCTCTAATACACTTCTACTTCAGTTTACTATGAGTTTTCTGACTTATGTAATACGCCGCATTTTCAGCTTTTAATTAAAATTAATTAACAGCTTTACCTAATCGACAATTAAGCAGACGACTGGAAAACAACCGCCCCTTAGGGATTCTAGGTGTTTATGAGCAAAACAGCAATTAAGACGTCTTTCATGGGCTATTTAGCTTCGATGAACAATTTCTACGTTCCTGTTTTCAACACCACTTCTAAATATCTTCCAGCTCCTCCTAACTTAATATCGCAGTGGTCACGTTAGCATTTCAAATTCTATTCCATCTGTCACTCCGAAATAATTTTTTACAAGTTTGTACTGTGGTATTGTTTACAATTAATATACCTTTATTCAAAAGAAATTAATTAAACCACATACACCTGAATACGATCGCCGTTTCCTTCATAAATACAATCACTTCATTGCTAACAATACGAAATGAAGATACAAAAAATATTTACTACTAATGCGATTTATGCGTCCGTGATTAAAATCACATAAATAATTCCAAGGTGCAGTAATTTCCTTTCCGTAGACAGACGAGTGTCAGGTAACTTTGTATCATTAAAATGCTGTGCACGAATGCATGTACGTATTGAGATTTTGTTTCTTGAAGCAGAACAATAAAGAACTCCGGATAAATTATTAATTTTGTGACTGTTCGGTGGAAGGTAAGTCTGGCGCAGTTGTCATCTCCTCAGCTTCTTCTCGCAAAGCATCCGCTTTCTCTTCCAGAAGCATCTAAAAAACGACACCTCAAATCTGTCAGCCACCGACTATCTTAATAACTTGTCACAATTTTGCGTGCGTTTTCAAGGAGAAGTTGTTCACAGATCAGTTACTGGTTCAGTATCGTCGTTTTAAAAGGATAAAGGGTGTCAAAAATCCTTTTCTGACAAACAGGCTAGATTCTACACGACATCAATTAAGATGGATAAAAATATATTAAATTTCATACAACAATTGTCTCGAAATAGAACCTTCGAAAAGTCTTAAACTCCAAAGAAAAACAAGCGACAAATTTGTGTTAGAGTTAAAGAAAAAACCTGAACTCGACTCTGAAAACACAAGCCCACGAAAGTATTCACCTTAACCTCTAAGTCAAGGTCTCTAAACATAGTTGGTTTATTGATCAACTCACGTGCACCCCACGTGACTGCAAAAAAAAACATACTAAAGGGGGGGGAAGGAATGAGAAAATGGCAGTTCGAAATGAAGAGACGAAACAATCATCTTAAATGACACAATCTTCGACTAATCAATACGCACACATCTCTATCTCCATAATCAACGGCGCAATTTTGTCAAAAATGTAAAAACTCTAATTTGGTTACCTTAGCAGCGGAGACAATCTGATTAGCCTGACGTCTGGGGAGGTGCTCGATCTGTTCCACGAGCGAAGCGGGATCAGCCCAGGCCAGGCTAGTCAGGGTTTTGTATCCGGCCTTTACTAACTGGTGCGCACGAGACTAAGGGGAAAACACAGTAAATTAAAACAGAATCACCTAAAACCTAAGGTTTTATGTTTGTATGATTGAAATGAAAGAAGGAGCGTGGAGGAATCTGACCAGACCTAAATGAAACAGTCATTGTCGCCCCCTACAGACTGCAATGATTAGGACGCGGTTTTATCAAACAACAACTAAACTTTGTTTTAATAATTTGCCCTTTGAGCACTGCCCTTGGCCGCAAAACGTTCATCTTTTCGAACATGTACGGATCATAATTAGCTTGGGAGCAAGCGCACGTGGGGAGGGATACGGATGTAAGGAAAGAGTGAGGAAGAGGGAAAAGCGAACAAATCCCTCACCCCTCTTTTCACCCTCATGGGGGTTTTCCTGCGTTATTCTTCTCGGCGTACAAAAGCTGTTCAGCTACTGATTTCGAAAATAATTCAATGTTTACCTGTTTCACCCCAGGAACTTCCATTAGGGGCACAAGCTCCAAGCTCGCTGTGTAAGACAACTTCTTTACCATGACTTCAAGTAGCGTATTCACGCCCCAAAATTCATTCAGTTCCTGAACATAAAAAAAAATTGTTGCAAATAAGGACCTTAAAGTAATCCTCCCACTTGATTACAAAACATTTTCCCCCAACTAGACAAGAGAATTTCATATGTTATCAAATCCATGTCCCCTGGTTATCAGTTGCCTTAATTCTCATCATCTGTCTAAGAATTGAATAACTGATCAATCAGGGGATAAAACGACAACCATGAAACCTCTCTCATTTGAGTGAGTTTCTCAAAACCGACTGATCCAATTACAGAAACCGAGCAACATACTCCAACTAAATTCTTTGACAACTGTACTTCGAGCCTAAAGTCTGAAAATTAAATGCCGCCAACAGAGCTCTTGTTGAATTACTCGCTGGGACAAACTTACTCGAGTGAAGTGGACCATGCAGGACGCGAACGAAGACGCTGAAGTTAACAGATTCTGCACAAATCCGCGAGTTACGTTAAAAAGACGGGCCACATTCCATACAGTGTCCTCTTGTAACAATTTGTAAAGCATCAAGGTCAAATAGAAACGCCTCACTCTGCTTTCTGTAGTGTCGTCCTAATTACAAAAAAAAATGTTACGACACAGCGAACAAACGTCAGGCATGTGCAAGGGGATCAATTTTGGCCAGCCACACGTCAACTTCCCGTGCAAAAGTTCAAAGGAAAACCTCAGAAACAAGCGCTGTCTGAAAATATGCGAAAAAAATTGAAACGTTCACAGAATTTTGTTAAAGGCTACAAAAATAAGGACAAAGAAAACTTAACAGTTTTCGAACACAAAATTTATTTAATAATGGGTGTTCTGTTAATTTGCAATTTTGTTTTGAGGTTTATCAAAAAAGGTATACACTTTTAAAACACCGTGACCTTCTAGCCTGTGTGACTGTTTGTAAATTCTCTAGGAAATCCTGGTTCTGACAGCTTGGAAAGCACCGCATCAACAATAAAAACATTTGCATATGCGCGGGACGTTTGTCTGCCATACTGATTGTTATTCGCTTTGCGCGTACAATTTCTATCCCTTCACGTCTACCAAATAGGCCATAATAAACATCTCTATTACCAAAACAAACCCCAAATCAAAGTTCCACAGAAAAAACAAGAACGAGACAGCGCCATGTCGTGCCATGGATGTCAGAGAAATAAAATAGAATGTGATAAGGACCCAACTCCCCTGCGCAATTCAATAAGATGACCATTTACCATTTTCGATCGCTGTCCTGTGGCTCTTCTGAATAAAAAACTTTCTGTTGCTCCCAAAAGTTCAGCGACTCTTTCCTCGGACTCTTCTCGAAATGAAGATACCTGAGGGCGAAACGACCACAACTGTGAGTCTTCGATAAAACGCTTCCAAGCAGGTCACCTTAGGTTCGTTTATTTTTTCGGGCACAGGGTTTCAAGGATGTTTTGGATAAGCATTGAACAAAATGTTCTTCATGACGAACAGACAGTTTTTTTTTAACAATTTCTACAACCAGGGGATAAAATTCCACCAGAGCAATTTTCGATAGCGCGTCTAAAAGGAAAAACCAAAGTAATCACAAACGGCCAACTAGAGGAAAGGGTAATATCCAAAGGAACCAATGAGAATTCAAAGTTAACACACGTGACTTGTGTCCAGCGCGGGAAAACGCGGGCAACCAAGTCGCGATTGCTGTTAGTTTTGCATTTGATTGGTTGGGAAGGTAGCGCACGATATTTTAACCAATCAAATAGCGTATAGCGTATTGACACACGTGACTTGTGTCCAGCGCGGGAAAACGCGGGCAACCAAGTTGGTTGGGAAGGTGGCGCACGATATTTTAACTAATCAAATAGCGTATAGCGTATTTTGCAATCTGATAATACTTTCAACATCGAAAACTGCTCCCACTGACCTGCTTGTAATATACCATCCACTCAGGTTGGGGTGAATCTCTTAAATCATGTGGCGTAACCAGATATAACAGGTGTAGCTCATTGGCTAGCACGAGGTTGTCCTGGGCTCTAGCAAGCTCGCTATATATCATGGGACTGCTGTCCACACCAATGCACCCTGCAAGAATGAAATTCCCTCATGAAAACCAACAAGCGTTTAACAACTCAAAATATAAAATATAAAATGCCGGTTTTGCTACCTTAATTAATTATTATCCACTGCTTAAGTGTTATGTATGCCTCCACTTACAAAGTATAAAGCAGCCTAAATTAAAAGTTAATAACAAACAGGCGAAACTTAAAGAGGCCCCACCCCCTCCCCTCTCCTTCCTTTTGACCGTCGCTAACCCCCCTGGTAAGAATTTATTTCTCTCCTCAGCTTTCCGCTGCCGTAAAAAACGAGAAAATACTGAGCACTAACTCGCAAAAATCACGCCTGCTCTGCATGCTGTCGCACTTAAGTGTATGTCACTGAAAATGACGTATCTCCCGGAAATAGGTGTCCGAAAAGGGTTCCGCTGCATTCTCTACTCCATTCTTTCAACAGAGCGTATTTCTTTTGCTATTTTTTCCAAACCTTTAAAAGTAGCATGTCCAAGCTGAGTGACTTCAATCTTCGTGCTGTCTGTAGAACCAGTCATTTTAATATGTCCCAAATTGTGTAAGGAGTCCAGCGCTGTCTCCATCTGTTCAGTAATGTTGACTGACTGTGATTCTGACTGCACAAACAGTAAAGTGTTCTGCATGAACTGTGTCAGTTTTTCTGTTGTTGTACATAGCTGCAAAAAAAAAAAGGATTTGAGGTTAAACAACCTGTATCACAAGGATTATTATCGAGAGAAATCACATCTTGAGAGGTACACAACATTTTTTTGGAGTAACTTTTTATTTTCAAAGGGAATTTACGTTAACTAGAAGTCAAAGAAATTTTGAATTGAGTGTTGGAAGTAATTGGGGATTGCACTGGCTTTCATTTCCCTTCCTCTGTGATTGATCCAGAAAACTCGCACCACTTTTTCAACCAATCACATGGAAAAATAAAAACAAACTAAACTTGTTGAAATACGGTGGCCAATTTACGTTTTTAACTCAGTTGTTAACACTAAATTACTTGTTGAAACACGTTTTCCTCGTGAGTTCTCACCGGCTTCTTAGGATGTTTCCTTTAAAAACTCAAACAAAATGCGTTCGAAAGAAAACCCTACGATGGTCTTTTGTCAGGGGCTATATCCTTGTTTCCATAGAGAATAATTTGTTGAGGAGAAATCACAATATTTTCCTTACACAACTTACTTTCAGTCCTATAAGTGTCAGGAGCATTGCTCTTAATCCTTTGCCATTGTCAAACAATAATCCACTATAACAGCTCTCCAACGGGCCTGAAAATAGGTGACGAATCTGGGAAGAGAAAAAAAGCAACTTACACCTCGATGAAAGCAAAAGAACAAATCCCACACTAATCGTGACACACATCGTTTCTTCCTTGGAAGATGAGTCTTGTTTCGCGCAAGGTGAATCAAATTTCCCATAAGACCATTTTTCTGCGAGGCGTGCTGTATTCAACAAAAGACGTTCTCATCACTCTTTGCGATACGTGTCCAATTTTTCGCGAGATGTGTCTCAAATCTCGCGAGGAAAATGTGTCTCACCAATCGCGAAACGATTCTAATTTATCACGATATGTCCTTAGATTTTTCTCATTTCTTACAGAATTGCCTCTTTCCCGCGAGATGTATCATTCCTCACGAGACGTGTTTTACTTCTCCTGAGACATGTCTTACTTCTCCTGAGACGTTTCTCGTTTCTGGCGAGACGTGTCCTATTTCTCGCGAGGCGTGTCTCATTTCTCGTAGGACGCGTCTTGTTTCGCGCAAGATGTGAATGAAAAGTAAAGACTGCACAATCAAACCTATGGCAGTACATGACCAACAACAAAATTAATCCTAACCTTGGGTTTATCCGAATCTTTGACGATAAGAATACTTTCTCCAGACGTGTCTATTCCAGCTCGCCCCGCCCGACCAATCATCTGCTTGTACTGACTCTGACTGAGCACTGAGCTTCCCACATACGGCGCACGGATTATCACCCTGCACACCAAACTAAAACATTAGCTGCTCCTGAATAGCAGGAGACAAAAAATCTTTGTTTTCGCAGTAAGCTCAATCCTTAAAAGCGGAATCTATTTGTGAAGCACGAGTATGATTACAGAGAGAATTTTTCCAACAAAAATGAACCCAATAGTCTTCATAAAAAGTGCCTGCAACTGGTGCATACTGTCCAATTATACAAGCATGACACGTAAACTGTCCTTTTGTTGCTCAAACTGAGCTGCTGTTGTAAAAACCAATTACGTTTGGGAGTTTCGTTATAGTTTTGATCTCATACGAGAATCAAAGGGCTGTCAATCTGTTACACACCTCTTTGCTGGCAAATTGACACCAGCTGCTAAAGTTGAAGTGCAAGTCAGAAGACACAGCACCCCCTGACAGTAGCCGTCCTCAATGAGTTTCCGTTCATCCATCGTCAGCCCGCTGTGGTGATAAGCAATTCCAAAAGGAATGGTCTGTTTCAACACGGGACAGAGGTCAGAAGCTTCATTGTACAAAGCTTTCATCAACTGAAGTCTTTCTTGAGCTTTGACTTGGCACAATTTCCTAGTAACACGCAAAATGAACCTCAACCGAAAGTAAAAAATCCGGGAGCACTGCTAACAATTTGTTACCTGGGCATAAACTTCACAAGAAGCAATGCTAAGTTTTGGCAGTTTTTCTTTGTAGAACAAAACACGAGACAGGAGTGATCTGGTACGACCTCCAACACTAGGGATAACAACTGGTCTGGATCTTGCTTTAGGATCCTTTGGTCCTAGGAACAATTATAACAAAAATCTTAAAAAAAGTAGACACTGAGCTAGTAAAACTACTTCAAAAACATTCCAATACTGCTGACACTGAGGATTTTACCGCTTACAAGCAGTTCTAATTTGATTGTAATATCAGTAGTGGTGACTGAGGTTTTGACAACCTTAGTGGAAGTCATCATCAGAGTCATTGTTAGTTTTCTTGACCTTGATGATGACATCTGTTAAGGTTGTAAACACGTCACTTGCTACAACCAAGAACAGTCCTTCTCAGGACTTCTTTCACCTGTACAATCAGACCACACAATCAAATGCTATTGTGGCTTTGTGTGTTTATGTTCTGACCTGCTTGAGAGAGATACTCCTAACTGGCTTGCTGCATTCTTCCTCAGGATCTGTAGCTTCAGGAACTTTATAAATATCATGCCCCACTTTTACAAACTCCTTCAGTTCAACCTGAGCAAAGACATATCAATCAATTAAAACATGCTCATCACATTTTATATTGTCAGTATGTTACAGTTTCCAGGCTACAGGCTGAATTATATATCATGTGCAAGGTATGAAACACCAACAGGGAATAAAAAGTACTTTATAAAATCTGAATCACAAGTAAAATTCTGTACTCACGGGTCTAAAATTATTTGAATACACCTCTGCCTTTAAAAATGTCTTCAAATCTGCAATGTTACTTAAAGTAGCACTCATTCCAATGATCTGAGTGGTGGCTAAAAAATGTAAAATTATAAAAATCAAGAGTTACTTCTCCAATCAAAACAGGCTCAACAAGCCTGAGCTTCAATTTATCCATAGCATAAAACAATTCTGGATATTTCTGTTCTCCCTTCTTGTCAAGAATTTTTGGCCATCAGAGACAATCTGCTTGAGTCAAATAATCAGAAAACGTCATTACACAGCACTGTAGAGTACTTACAAGACACAAACATGAGCTTTGCCAGGCACATCTCTAAAGTAGCACCTCTTCCAGCCTCTCCAAGCATATGCAGCTTGACAGATAAGAAAATAAATATATCACACTGTTATTGGTTAACTTATCAAAATGAGACATAACTATAGTATATTAGATAGAGTGAAACCATCTACATATCTGCTCAACTCTCAGTCAAGGATTCAAGTCTTCTGTACCTCATCAACTACAACAAGTCCCAAGGTTGAAATCCTGCTTTCTTCAATCAGGCCATTAATAAGCGCATTTGCCTATTTGAAAAGAGAAATTAAAAAATAATTTAAAATGGCTTGAAAACAGTTAAGGCAAACTTCATTATTTGAAGAGCTAAATGGGAAAAAATCATGGTTGACTTCTGATGCAAAATTAAAATCCTCCTTGAGTTCCATGAGCTCACTTCTGGGAATTTTTCTCTGCCCGCTTTCATTTGTAATGCTTCGACAGAACCTTCAAACCTTCTCTATTGTTGCGATATACACAGATTTCTTCTTGCGTCTTTTACGTGGAGGGATTCTTCCTCGGCTGGCAGCATACTCTTCTACTAAGAAGCTGAGGTCAACAGCAAATTGAGAAAGAGATTTAACCTGATGATCAAAGACAAAGAAATCCTTATTGAGATAGGCATTAGAAGCAAGTACAGACATCATGTCACAAAGCAGGAAAAGTGTTCCGAATCTTATGGCTGGCTGGTTAACAGGTGTAAATATAGAGCTTGTACAGGAGTTTTCAAGGTAGATCAAGGCATTTGTGAGTAGAAAGGGAGTCTCCATTTCTGTCAGACTCCTGAAAACACTAGAAATATTTCTAAAGGTATTTTTTGTTGAGAAGGGGTGGCCAATTAAACATGAGATAACAAAATTGTAAGCAACAATAGTTTTGCTGGTAAGTCCTGATCAACATCCCCAAATAGTTCAAGTATTTATAATTTTCTGAATTCAGAGAGGAGAAAGGGGGAAGAAAGGAGATTTTTAAGCCCGCTAGCAAAAAGTATAAATTAGCCTTAAAAAATTAACCTTTTAAGAAGGGGCATCCCTGTAACTCTCATTAATTTAAAAAAGTTACCTACTCCTGTCGGAGTTAAGGTGTTTCTTAGGTCTACGCATGTACTAATTTATACGTACATAAAAGTATTAAAATAAATATTCTAACATTGGTATTCTAATGCAGCAAACTTAAAACACAGAATCACCTTTTCCTGTACAATTGACACAAATGGGAGAACAAACAAGACATCTTTCTCTTGCAAAAGCAGCTCTTTGAAAATAAGAATTTCTGCAACTAAAGTTTTGCCTCCACTTGTTGGAAGGGAATAAATCAAGTTTCTTCTCTCCTTAATAGCCTCTAGATTGAGGCAGTCTTTTTGCCAGTCTGCAATGAAAAAAAATGCATCAGTATGTCTTTAACCCTCAAGATCTGAGAAGTAATTCTCTCCAAAGCTGCTACATATTACCTTGTAGATTAGAAAAGAGAATTTGGTGTTTTGTTAAAATGTTCTTTAGTTGATGGGTTTGTTAGTTCTCATCACCTGTTTATTAGATTATGTATTAAAAGTGTATGGAGAAATTATATTTTGATCTATGCTGGGAGTTCAGGAGTAGACAACAACTTAAATTGTTCAATGGTTCAATTGACAAATTTAATATAATATGTGAATTAGAAATAGAGACAGTAGCTGGTCACCCAAAATAACTTTACTCTTTGACCCTAGGAGGGGCTGAACCTTATTTCTCCTCAAAGTATCAGCCCTGAATCAAACATTAAGGTCATGAGAATAAAGGAAATGATCACCAACTAAAGAAGCTCTTGATTGTTAAACAAACTCTTCTTTTTCGTACTTTAGGAAATGTCTGAAGAAGAGAATGGAGAATATGTGTACTGAGTGTTAACCCTTTAACTCCCAAGATCTGATTGTTAATTCTCCCTTCCAGCTGCTACACATTTCCATGTAAACTGGTTACAAGAATTTTGCTTTCAATCAAGCTAATATTGTGCACTTGATGAGTTTGAGTATTCTCACTACCTGTTTGCTGGATAATGTATGAATATTGTGGGAAGAAGTTACATGTTTATCACTCCTGGGAGTTAAAGGGTTAAGGGTTATCTTAAACTAACTTACCATACAAACTATCAATTCCTTTGTATTTCTGTAACAACTCTTTGACTTTGAGAGGTAAGCCATAAAACTGCTTTTCCTCCTCTTCTGGTAAAATTGCCAAGTTGCCTTGCGTACGGTTCAAGGCAGCCGAGGAAGTGATAATTTCACTCAAATTCAAAGCAGCTAAAACACCATCATCGTCGCAAAAACTGGAACTGTTGATTAAACTTTTAAATCCAAAAGGAGAGCTAACACTTGTTGCATTAGTTTGTTCACGCTTGAAATACCTTGCAGATAGTTCAGCTTCGCAATCCTGTATATCATTCCCTGTTCTATTTGGAGTGCTGCAGTAGCGGTTTTTCTCTCCTGCAACTTTTAACCCTGTTAGAGACTTCTCGCGTTTCCGCACCTGTTGATCGTCCTCCATTGAAGGTTCGGCTTGTTTTCGATCATCTACCATTTCACTCTCGCTACAGCTGCTATTTAAACTCCTTCGCTTCGACCGTCTGCTTCTCCTCACATCGAGAGTAGAAGTTTTCTTAATTTTATAGTCTTTAACCCGATCTTTTGTCAACTCTTCATTACTTCTTCTAAAGTTTATCTTTTTCACAGCGACCACATCTTTGCGTAACCGTTTCTGGTCATTAGTTGAAGCACAATTTGCTGTTCTTTTGATAGTATTCATCTCTCCCAGGGTTAAAACCCATCATATAAAATTATTTCATTCAACTTTCTTGGTTATGTTGAAACTTTTTCCAAAGTAGCACGCTGGGCACTGCCGCCATCTTTATATCTGCTAAGGATCTGGTACAAAGCTTCGCGATGCTGTAAATCGAGGACTGCGGAGTACGGACTACGGAGTACGGACTACGGAGTACGGACGACGGACTATGACTACGCCGACAGTATCCTACCAGAAGCATATAACCTGGCTATATGTCGTTTTATGAAGAACGAACTCTTAATACCTGTGATCAAAACGTTCCATACATTGCTGCTTTTCCGTTACAAACTATAAAGGAGTATCTGATGGGGAATTATTTCCGCAGCCCAAGCAAACTCATGTAGACACTCTACATTGTTTTTTTTTCCTTCCATTCCACCCACCTCTTTCGTTTTGTCATTTACTCATGTCTTTTTTTATTGTTCATTTGCTTGTTTGTAGGCTGCTCCAAACTTAGTCGATAACGTAAATTGGCCACCATAAAGAGTTTCAAAGCTGACGTTTCGAGTTCTGACAAAGGACCAGGGCTCAAAACGTAAGCTTTGAATCTCTTTAAGGCGGCCTATCAACTAAGTTAATAATACTTAACTACCATATTATACCATAATTTTGTTAAGCACCATGAGGAAATATTTACTCTGAAGTTGTCAAACAGAGAAAATTCCCTCAATTCAAAGACTGGTGCACTTTTGGTAATTTCTCCTTACAGTGCTCATCGCACTTTGTTTTTTCCTTTTTTTTTTTGGAGGGAGGGGGGATCTATATTCTGCACAGCCAGTCAACTATAATAACAAATATAATGAGAAAGGTTAGAATTAATGTATTTATGTTTTTTTTGCACCTTTCAAGCCCAAAGATCTTTGCCAGCAGTTTTCCCAAAATCGTTTAAACTTTTGGCACTAATTTTGTGAAGCATAGTTTGAAGAGTTCTTGTTTTACGATATCTTAACATTTACATTGCCAATCATCATTGCCTTGAATTCTTCAACGTTTGTTTGGTTATTGCCATCATTGATGCAGAGACCCATGGTTAGCCCTGTGGGTTCCCTGTGGGTTCCCTGTGGGTTCCCTGTGGGAGCCCTGTGGGTTCCCTGTGGGAGCCCTGTGGGTTCCCTGTGGCAGTAATCCATGGTCAACAGGGCACCCATGATCAACTTAACAAGCCGTCTATAAACTCTCTCCACTGTTTCTATGTAGTTCTCTTCACATTGACCACAACTGGTTAGGAAAGCTCATTTTAATATTTTCCAGTGAGAAGAGTCAAATAAATACCTCATCCAGGCTTTCCTGGTTTTCTAAATTTAGCTTGTACAAATATCCTTGGTACATCAACTCCTTCCTTTTTATTAACAGTCCTCCTGTGAGCATAATCATTGACTAATGTTTCAAATCCAGCTTGATGGAAGAGTGTTTCAACAAGATCTGTAAGAGCAAAACAAGAAAAAGCACTGTAACAAGGGAAGAAAAATTTTCAATAATTGGCATCAAGTTGTCTTTTTTTTTTTACAATGGGAGAAAAAGGAGAAACAAAGTTACCAACCATAGATGTTCTACCAAGCCCCTTCCTAATGACCCCCTTATCTAAGGGTTCACTCTCTACCAATCCCTCCCTCAATATTATGCCTGCTCTTTATCAAGGCCCTTCTCTAATAACCCCACCACTCTAGGACTTCAAGTTTCTAGTAGGCCTTCCTCCCTTGTATAAGCATCCTCTCTATTAAGTCCTGTTCTACATTAAGCCTCCTATCTGATAAGCCCCCATTCCATTAAGTCCCCCTCTCTATTAAGCCTCCTTCCTGTATGAGTCCCCATCTCAAATAACCCCCTCTTTGTTGAGCCCTGTTCTATATCAAGTCTCCTATCTAATAAATCCCCCTCTCCATTAAGCCATCCTCTGTTACACATCCTTTCCCTAAGAGTCCCATCTCTGTTCTATATTAAGCCCCCTATCTAAAGCCCCCCTCCTTTAAGCCCCACCCTCTATTAAGCCTTCCTCCCTTAAGAGTCCCCACCTTAATAAGCCCCCCTCTCTATTGAGCCCTACAATCAATCAAGACCCCTATTAAATAAAGTCCTCCTCTCTATAAAGCATCTTTGTCTAAAACATCTCCCTCTCTGATAAACCCCCCTCCCCAATAGGCCCCTATTGCTATTGTGCCTCTCTTCCTTAAGTTGCCAACAAGTTATTGTAAAGTAAACACAAGCAAAAAAAACATATATTTTTTTAGAAATAAAAGTAAGAGGGACAAACAAAGAAGATGTGAATTTATGAAAAGGACAAAGATGGAAAGAGGACTTCAGCTTACCTTTTGAAAAATAGTAAGCTCTAGTGCCATCTTGTCTGACATAAAAGTTATCTGAGAGTTTGTTTGCAGGACTAAATCTTAACATAGCATGGTCATACAACCCATAATCGCGAAAGAACAGCAATCCACCTGGTTTGAGAACCTTATTTAGATGAAAAGAAAATAACAAATATTGGTAAAAATTAGTCTTTTACTGTTTCAAAGTTGACTGCATCTTTTCCTAACCAAACTGTGACAGGATACCTTAACAAGATCAAGACAAGTATTTAAGTGTTTTGTCTTACTTAACACTCTAACTTGCAGAATTGATTAACATGGAACTTCTCCCTATAATATCCATACATCATTCAGCAAACAGGTGATGAGAATACTCAAACTCATCAGGTACAAGATATTACTTTGATTGACCACCAAATTCTCATAACCAATTTACAAGGAAATGTGTAGCAGCTAGAGGGGAGAATTAACAATCAGATCTTGGGAGTTAAGTAACTGACACCTCAGAAACAAGTAAGACAGTAAAAATACCAGCCATCTGTGCCTCAGGAGAATGCTTATACAACCCAGAAAAACCAGTCTAAAGCCATATTAATTATCTGTTTACTTTGTGGGTGAACTTTGAGAATAATGTTTGAGGAAAAAAAAAACGCAATCACTTCAGTTTACTGTTTTACCTGTATTACATTTTGAAGAACAATCAACATTTTATCTGGATGGACAGCAGACAGGACAAACACCAAAGTTGCAATGTCCACACTACATTTTGGCACATGTGACTCTAAGGCATCCACTGTTAGGTCACAATGGAAGGCATTTACTTTTTCTTCACTAAAAGCAGGATGTTCCTAGACAAAAAAACAAACAAAAATTGTAAACCCCTCAACTCCCCTAAGTGACTAAGACAGAATCTCTCCTTATAATATCCATACAATATCAAGCAGACAAGTGATAAGAATAAAGAAAATTATTAATTAAAGAATTATTAGTTGATCTAATACCAAATTCTCTAGACTAACATCAGAAAAACTATATGACAGACAGTAAGGAGAATCACTTATGAGATCTTGGGAGGGATGAAAGGGGTCACCTAATCTGTCAATCAGTAATATTTTTCAGAGCAATCCGTCAAGGCAGCTTTACTTTGGTTGAATCTGAATTACCAATCTTTTCAAGCTATAATTATACTGCACAAGTAAATATATAATCATAATTATGACACAAGAACAATACACTTTTTCTCTCCTCTATTAATAAAGTGTAAACCATATGAATAAAATTAAATACTTAGTGTTTAAGATTCTAAGGAGTACCCTAACCATTCCCTACATACAATTCAGTGTTAACAACTGAGTTGAAAACGTAAATTAGCGACCATAAAAAGTTTAAAGGCTGACATTTTGAGCATCAGCCTATTTTCAAAGCAATAGACAAAGGGCTGACCCTCTAAACTCTTTACAGTGGCTAATTTACGTTTTCAAACCAGTTATTAACACCAAATTACCTGTTATACTCTCCCACTAATGCAGCATCACAGTTTCTTCAGAAACTTATCCCCTTTATCCATTCCCCACATGGTCTTCAAATTTGCTTAAAGTTCTTACCTTCACAAAATCAATGGCTCTTTTTGAAAAATCGCATGCATGAATGAAGAGATTTGGGATTTCCTCAAGTAATGGATAGAAGAGATTTCCAACACCACATCCAGCCTCCAATAAAATTTTGCTTGTAACAAAATCTGACTTGATTTCAATAAAGAAAATTTAGATTTAGATTTGGAGAGCAATCACAGCTTCTGATGCATCAAGAATTGACTTTTTGTAACCAATCTCACACAGTTTCAAATTTATTTGTCTTGACCAAAATTAATCACATCATTTCAACTCTGCCTGTGCCAGGCTGAAGTCAAAGGAAAGGAGAAGAGGAGTACAAGTGGGTGATGGAGAGCTGTCTAAGTTATTTTGTAGGATTCATAAGAAAAGAGGGTCATTACCCTCCTTAGTTCTCCCATGCTTTTTCTTTCTCATTTGTCCCCAGATTTCTTGTGTTATTTGAAAACAACCAAGCACATTCCTCTTATAATGGAATTAAATTATTCTCTCCCTGTGGACACAAGTTTTAACTGAATGATGAAAGTTATCTAATATAGCATTTAGATTTCCCAAAAAACACTTTGTTATTGGTCAAAAAAATTTATCCACCCTCTTGCAAAATCAAAACCAGTCATGTTTGGTAAATTGACCAATTCTGCATTTTGGTTGTTTTTAATCTGAGTTCTTATTGGCTCCTTATGGAATTTTCCTCTACTCTGATTTGCTGTTGTGATTACTTTGGTTCCACTTGTACAACACTCAGTCAAAGTCCTCTTCATTCCACCATAAATAGATTTGACCCTTTTCTAATTCTGTAATTTAGCACAACACACTTACCTCACCATTTCTACTTTCACATAACAGCTCTTTGAATTCTGCAGTAGTCCAGTGTCTATCTTTGAAAAAGTTTGTAGCGTTTCTTTTATAAAATAAATCCCAATTTTTTTGGGCTTCTTTTTCTAGCTTATTCTGTTTAAATTTTGATACAATCTTGCTATCATCTTCAAGTTTTATCTTCTCTTCTTCTGTGAGAGCACGTACATCATCTTCGTCCGCCATCACTAATGATAACAACCGCTGACTACTATAAATATTTCCCGTGGGTCTTTGCTAATCGGAAGTTAGTGTCCCATAATACACTGCGGCACTTGACGTCTTTTAGTCGCACAAGGGAAAGTAAAAAATGTCGGAGGAAAATAAGGTAATGTGGTTGAACGAGAATTCTTTCTACATTCAATAAGTTATTTTAATCTCAAAGAATTAATGTACAATTTCCTTTCTCTTAGGAGGTAAAACCTGAATCAGAACACATTAACCTGAAAGTTATGGGTCAGGTAAGCTGCCATTGATCTTATCGTTCTCGTGCTTAGCGTTGAATCGAGGTGCTAGTTTGTACCCTCAGAAGAAAATGCCGTCGAAAACCTCCACAAGGAAGATTATTTTTGTCATATTATTGGTAATTCGGCATAGATTTGGGTTCAATTATCGCGGTGATGATCGCCGATTTAAAGTACAGCGTCGAACTAAGATCAAATAACATAAGTGAGAACAAGGAATTTGAAATCTGCTATTCTACTTCCTACACTACGGCCGTCCCACTTTCGAAATCCTCCCCATTTTACCAAAGAAATAGTGCGTTTGTTAGTATTCAGAGCCATAATGATTTGGCTTCCCGAAACGATGTCTATGTCCTGTGCTGTTTTGTTAACCACTTTGATTTGTGTATATTGTGATCTGTGGCGGGAAACGCAACACACGTGCTTGTGTCGATTTGTAAAAAGGCCACCCTTTGACGTTCCTGTCGTTAAAAATCTTTTGCTGATTGAGCTTCTCTTCTTGCTACACAGGACAACACAGAAGTACATTTTAAGATCAAGAAAACCACTCAATTAAAAAAACTCAAGCAAGCATACTGCGATCGCCAGGTTTGACAGTTTCGAATCATAAACGTTGTTTGATAATATTCTAGTAGTTACATTCTCTACACTGTTCTCCTCACATTTGCTATGTTACTGAGAAGGAGAGTTTGTTTGACAATCAGGAACCTCTCAAATTGGTGATTGTTTCCTTTATTTTCACAACCTTTGCATTTGATTCGAGGGTGGTACTATATGGAGAAATTATAGGCTAGTCACTCCTATGAATGAAAGGGTTAATACATGTTATTGTTTGAAAATACAAAAACACAGATTTCTCAGATTTAAAAGTATAACTAATTACCATGAGAACCACTGGTCAGATTTCTAAAGTTTTCTAAATATTTCTGCAAGCAAGCCTTCAATCTTTCTTAGTTTGTGTTGTGCTGATGATTTCATTGTATTTTATGTTTAGGGTGTCCCCCTAAATTCACTTCGGTTTCTTTTCGATGGTCAAAGAATAAATGATGATCAAACTCCTAAAGATGTAAGTATTGGACAGAACTTGAAAAATGGTCACAATTGATGCTGAAGCTCATTTTCATGATAAAAAGATAATCAGTTGAGTGAGGCATGGCCAAAGTTTGGCGACATGGTTTTATTTTTGGTGTTGTCACAGGCAACCTTCCTTGTTTCCAAAGGTAACTGAATCTCAAGAGCCTTGAGATTCAGAGATCAGTCAGCTATCAAACACGAATGCTTGCCAAAAGAGGTTAAAGCACATGTTACCATTGGAAACATAGTCAGTTGTCCATGACAACAACACCATTTTAACGCCAAAATGTGGTTGCTAAACTTCTGTTGCACCTTATGATAGTATTTTGAAGAATCGGGTGCCAGGAGGCAACTATTATTGATTTGAGTTCCGAAAGTTCTGTCTCAATTTGCCTGGCAAAGCCAAATAATTTTTGTTTGTTTATACTGGCTATCATGTACATCACATACTTAGAAGTTTTAATAAATTTAATAACATTTCAATTAGAGGTAATGGACCCACTTTTAATAGAGAAGCTTTTGACTGAGGAAATTGTAGAATTTTTTGTCATGTTAGGGCTCAAAATTGTGACCAATACAATGTGACTAAACCTTTTAACTTGGCAACTAAAAATTTGAGTTTAGTCACTTTGGCAACTATGTTCCTCTGATAAATAAAA